CCTGCTGGAGAACCTGAGCGTGGCCTGGGCCTACGGCAAGAATCACCAGATGGCAGTGGCTGTGCTGGGGCTCTTCACCTGCCTGCTGGCCATGTTCCTGGCTGGGCGCATCAGGTGCGTGTGCTGGGCTCCTGTCTCGCTCAAACTGCTGTGGTGGGAGCTCCCTAGTGCTGGGCTGCCTCGGTGATCTGGGGTGAACACTTGCAGAATGGCACATGTAGTACTGCATGCACTGATTCATTCCATTTAAGCTTAATTACTGTGAATGAAAAGCTGGAGCTGATCTGCTCAGACACTCGCCCAGCCCAGGCAGGGCTGCACAGGATGTGCTGTGTCAGAGGCAGTACGGGGTGACCAGGGTGTTCAGCAGTGTTGAAATCCTGTCTGGTTTCTCGTCCCGTGGCAGGCTCCGGCGGATCGACGCCTTTGCCTCGCTGCTGTGGTTCCTGGTGATGAGCCTGCACCTGGCCGAGCGCTACCTGAAGGCAGACACGCCCAGCTGGCTGGACACGGCCAAGTTTGGCACCACGTCCCTGTGCTGCCTGGTGGGCTTCACCGCAGCCGTGGCCACGCGGAAGGCGACGGGCCAGCGGAGACCCCGGCCCCGAAGGTCAGAGCCAGAGCAGTGACGCTGGGGGAAGCAGGAAAAACCCTTGTGAACTCTTTGCGACTGGTGCTTCTCTCTCCTCTTGTTATTTTCCCTTCCTCTGTGTCTCTTTTTTTAAAGTTAGATAAGCAGTGAAGATCTCTTCTTCCTTTTTTTAAAAAAATATATATTTATATATGCACATATACACATGTGTGTGTATATATATATATAAATTTTTTTCCCCATCCTTGCTTACCACTGTGCTAGCATTTCCACTGCTGGCCATGGAAGCTACTCGTGCTGCCTCCATTCTCCCTTCCTCCTGCATCCTACGTCAGCAGTACAAATATCCAGCTTCCCCAAAGTCAGTTCTTCCAGCAGCTGCCTCACAAACTGCTCCATAAATGCAGCCTCGTCCCCATTCTGCTCCTCCAGCCAAAGAGATTCTGGCTCCTCCTGGTTCTCCTCACTGTCTCTCCATCCTTAGCCACTCACAGAGGAGCCCTGTGCCCTGATCCACCATGGGGCCTGGGCCACCTTCACTTTCCTAATGGTGCTGGTCATTTTAATTTGGAACTGATGGGAACTTGCCTCTGGATTTGGAGTCTTTGTTGACACGTGCTGTGGTGCCCAGGCACGCAAGGAGGGACCACACAGAGCCCAAACCTGGTTCTTCTTGCCTTCCACTGTGCAGCATCACTTACCTGCACCCTCTCGCTCTGCCCTTCTCCTGGCTCCTGTTTCAAATGGAGAAGTGTCCTTAAGTGCTTTTGACTGAAACTTCAGTAATTTATTCAAAAAGGTGCTTTAAAAAATCATGTAGCTCAGGGTGTCTTAATACCTGAAAATATGCAGCTGAGGTGAAACTTTCAGATCTACTAGTGGTTGTTGCTTTCAATGCCAGTTTACTTGGGGTTTTTTTACCCACCTGCTCCCCGAGCAACATCTGTGTATAAGCACAACTGGATAAAAATGCCTCTGCTCCTCCACTCCTGTAGCCTTAGGAAGAGAAGTGTGGGACTGACAGGCTCATGCTGTGAGTACCGTGTCAGCTTTCATTGTCTACCACTGCTCAGTCAGAGTTCATTGCTGAGAACACACATGGGAAGGGGTGGGAGCTCTGCTGCGGGACTGCATGGCAACAGAGATGGATTTTTTGGGTTACTTGCAGGGGTTCTTTTTGCAGTCTGGCATTGTGCTAATACTGAAATAAGGATCTGAAAATTGTGATTTGGAGCTGAGTGCCTGGCACTCCTCCGCTGAAAGCTGGGGTGGCTGGGCATTACTGTGTGGGGAGGAGGGAACTTCCAGCTGTTTGGGTTTTTTAGGATTAACTTGTTGGGACCCCTTAGGATAAGCAGTCTGATTATCGTGCACGGTTGTTTGAAAGTCACTCCACTGAGTTTCTCATATGGACTTTGGTTTTTCAAGAGGGAAATAGCACTTTTCAGAACATCTGCTGTTTTCTCCTGTTCAGAATAGCACAGCAGAACTCACCACCCTAATAATCTGATCTAAGTTAATTGGTGATCTTCCAGTGTATAAACTATAAAATAATCAGAGTGGAGCTCTCACTGTGAAGTATCTGCAACTCCTGCTGAAAAATGCAGACACTACTGGGTGCTGCAGATGCTGGTGGAATTAGAGGAGCTTTTTAAAAGGAAACAAAATCTATTTCCTAGCTGTTCATACTTACTGTTCCTGGAACTGCTGTTCATTGTGAAAGCATAAAGGTAGCACTGCCAAGGCTCTGAAATTCGTTAACAATAAGCCAGGCTGAGTCATGGAAGGTGCAGCTCCTGGCTGTGTGCCTGTGCCTTAGCAAGGGAGTGGCACACAGACCTGCTGCCCACCTGGGCTCTCCTTTGGAATCTTTTTCTGGTGCCTTCAGATAGCTGCAATATCCAAGCTCACAGAGCCTGGCTCCATTCTGGTGCTTGTGAATGATGCTGAGGGTTGTTTACTTACTTACTTACCCACAAGTGGAATCCAGCACCTGCAAAGTCTGGTTCCATCTTCCATGTTCCCATCACTATCAGTCCTGACCCAAAACATTTGTCTTCCAGCTCACAGGCATGGGAATCCTTGAGCTATTATGGCCATTAAGTGAAATAAGGCATCTGGACTTTTTTTTTAATTCTTGCCTTCTTCCTGCTTCAGGACTTCCAAATTTTCCTCATAAAGTACATGTAAGAAAAGACTTTTATCTGTGATTGTCTTCTGCACTTACCTGTACAGTTTGGATTGAAAGTTCCTCTTGGTGTTTTCCTCTGAGATGTGTCCAGGGAATGGGAGGAATCTCATATGTGAAGGATTTACTGAGAAGGTTCAAAGGAGGGGTATGAGAAGCTGACAGACTCAGTGGGAATGGTCATGGTGATGTCATGCCTGATTTCTGTCAGCAATGCCCTTTTATTAATAAGAATGAAATGCATCTGTCCAAATTCTCTTGCCCAGCAGGAAGGAAACTCTCAGTGGCAGCTTCTAAAGAAGGCTGGCAGCCTCTCCAGATGTTTTACTCAGGAGCTGAAAGCCAAGGCTGTGTTAAGCTTCACTGTGTCCTGTTTCCCATTGTCTCCTATCTCCTCTAAGTATCTCTTGTCCTCCCTTTTTAGGAATACTTGGGTTTTTTCTTTCTATTTAAACTTGACTCCTCTTCAAGCTCCCTGGGGTCAGGCACCTTTTGTGATGTTTTGCTGTAAATGTTATGTTGGTTTGCCATGCCTGTTCTTTTCTCTGGTTATCTTTTTCCCTGTGCATTGCTGGGATGGGATGGGGAGGATGCACACTAAATGTTGGGAACAGGCAGTTGCTAGAACTGTGGGAAGCAGAGGATTTACACTGTGAAACCTGAATAATCCTGTTAAGGAATGTTTTAGCTCTGTTTGCACAGCAAGTGCAAATCTATGCTGAGTTTAAAGTCCTTTAATGTGGGAGACATGTTAACTGCAAGTGACATCCGTTTGTCCTCACTTTATGCAGATTAATACAAATGAAGTATGTTTACTAGTTGCACTAATTTATATGTCAGAACATCAGAAAACTACTTTGTTTTATGGCCAAGCTGTACAACTGATCTCTGGTGCTTTGTTCACAACTTACAATTTGAGAACTTTTGTGCTTGTAATTGGGAAATTTCAAAGGTGAAACAGAATAATTGAAGTGGGGTTTATTTAATGCCAAAGAAGCTTTTGTTTTTGCTCAGGTGTCAGCCTATTTTCCCCACTTTTCGGTGCCTCAGCATGTCTGTGCTGCTGCTTCTGAAAACAACAACCTCAGAGCCTCAGAACCAACCTTGCAGCAGTTGAATTTTTGGTGTTTTAGAGACTCTGATGCTGACAGGCTCCTTTGTTTCTCCTTGTCTCACATGCTTTTGCTGATGGTGGAGGATGATGGGTCTTTAGGAGTCAGGGAAGAAAGGAGAAGGGTGGGTTTTGTCCAGAGGCGTTCTGATTTCTAAACTGCAGCATTCAGTCCGTCCCAGTTGTGTGTCAGACAAGGAGCCCTGCGGAGAACTTGTAAGTTAGCAGCATTCTGCTGTTGACTGTGGAAAAAGAAATAGTCAGAACCACTACTGCCTTTGCTGAGACTGTCCTTGCCACACCTGATTCCAAAGCCAAATAGGCTGTTCCAGACACTGCCATGCCATAGGTTCTGTATGGAAGGTGCTTTGCATGTTTTACTCAGCAGTTAGATTATGTCATGCAAATGTAGATATCTGAGCACATCATCTAACTGCATGCCTGCTTGCCCCACAGTGAGTCCAGCAGGTGAAAATGTGTGTTTTGCTGCACAGTGGTGCTGTCCTGTGCAGCTGAGGTGCTATTTTGTGTCACACATTTCCTTCTGCTGGGTGGGATAAGAGCTAACAAAGCTTGGTAACTAACAACCACAAATGATGCAAAATCATCCTGAACCACTTGGTCACTGCCTTGGGCTTCTTGTTTTCCCTTAGCTGGGCTCCTACTTCAGGCCACAGAGGAGCACATGGTGGTCTCCAGGTGCAGTTTTGTTGCCTGAGGATTCTCCCAGCCCTGCAGGCCAGAGCATGTGAATATCTTAACAATATTAGAGGGTTTTAGCCCAAAAGCCCCTAATTCAAGGTGCTGCTTTTTCGTACTAGCCATGTGTCTGGACCAGGGGATGGTAGCAGCAGAACAGAGGTGCTGAGGGATTGTTAGTGGGTTTGTGTGTCCCTTGAGATCGAATCTGCTCCATCCCCAAGTGCCTGACTGGCCCTCAGTGGCCGTGGCTGATGTGCCAGCTCAAAATCTTGTACCCTGCCCAGCAGAGCCAGTTCCAAAGGGGCCAGTGTGGGTTCATGAAGTGCCTTTTCCTGGACAAGATTTGGGACAACACTGTGTTGCTTTGCCTGGTGGCACAGGGCTGCAGCAGTGCCCATGTGTCTGCCAGGCCAGCGCTTCTGTCCCTCCCGTGCCACCACCGAGCGTGGCAGGGCACAGGGGGACACCTGGGCTAACATTTCTGAGCAACTGCGGGAGAACCCCGGGGCAGCAGCCAGGTCAGCATCTCTGCTGCTGCTTCTGTTCTTCCTGGGGCCCTCAGTGACATCAGTGCATGCAAACTGACACCTTTGTGACTTTTTAGCATTCTAAATACTCTGTGTTTATATCCAGTTCTTTCCTCTCTCTTGACTCCTTCCTACATCCATGCTTTGCATGCCCTAGTGAGCTTGGGTGTGTCAAAGGGTGAGGACATGTGGGAATATAAAAATGGTGTAGTGGCTTATTATTTTGGCTTTATGAATATTTTTCAAGTGTGCTGAAATTATGTGAAGCTAATAATCATGCTTAGACACTATAGGAATTATGTATTGATGTAATGTGAACAAAGTATTTATGCTCTTATAAAAATTAGTATAATTAATAGCCAGATCATTGCTCCAGACTGACTGCACTCGTGAAAGGTGAAGGGAGCTGTGCTGTATGGCTTTGCTTTGGTTTTCAGAGATGCTGTTGAAATTGTGTGCTGTTATATACAGCTGCCAGCTCCTTCCAGGTGTGCTGTCACCTGCAAGGACACTTGGCTCTTGCAGCCATGGCAGTGCTCTCCAGGGAAAGGGACCGTACTCAGTCCTGAAGTCATCCCCTGCAAAGCCTCGTTGGGACCAAAGCTCTGGAGTGCACAGGCAGGAGGAGGTGCCCTGGGCATTTTGGGCGTGCCAGCAAGTCTGGGTTCGTGTAGGCATAGGATGTGCATACACACACACATATACTCCCCACTTTGTGCCCCAGCTGGGGGAAAAGGCACAATTGATGCCAAGCATCTGTGCTCTAGAAGGTCTAATGCAGCTCTAATTCAACCCTCCCTTTTCATCCAAAGCAGGACCACAGGCAAGAGACAAGAATTCTTACTCTTGGCAGCTGAAGTTTGTAGCTCTCTAAGCCACATATCAAAATATTAATGTGTCTGAGAGCTGTGCCCATTTTAACACTACTCTCCCCTGTCCTTGTGCCTGTTTTTTATTCCGGTCCTGCTCTTCCCTCGTGGCTCTGTGGCTTTGACAGGAGGCTGTGCCCCGCGTGGGGAGTGCAGCAGAGCAGTGCCAGGGCACAGTGACAGTGCCCTGTTCCTGGCGTGGCAGGGCCTGTTCTGCACCCTGAGGAGGGGTCCCTGGGTGCTCAGTTCTGAGGGGAAACGTTTCAGCCCTGGCTGACACTGGGCACATCCCCGAGCTGCCTGCCTGGGACTGCATCTCCCCTTCTTCTTCATGGGCTGAATTATCTGACAGAGGAGTGGGTCCATCTGCAGCCTGGCCTGCCCCTGCTCTCCCGTGTCTGTGTCTGTCCCAGGGCTGGTGCAGCATCTCTGTAAAATGTGAATTTAAAAGGCACACACCTATGGAGGGAATTTAAGATGGCACACACACAGAGCAGGAGAGGCTCTCCTGTCAGGAGGAGTTCCTTCAGGACCGTGTACAGTCCCATACCATGTAATACCCTTCTTTAACCTTCTATTTATTTATTTTTAAAGTATCTGTGTAGCAGAGTTGTGCCCGACTGTCTAGTAACATTGTGATCATTGTAAACACTAATTAAGATACCCAACTTTTGATGTTCACAATAATTCAAGTTCTGAAATAAACGGCTTCCGGGCCTTGACTATTTCCACAAACTATCTGACTCCAGAGCCTTTTTTTTCCCTCTTTTTTTTTTATGTTCCATTTTTTACTGTTTCCAGAGCCACTATTAGCCCGTGACAAATGGCTTGGAGCAGAGGCACAGCTGCAGTGCTCCATCCCAGGGCTGTGATGGGGCTGCTTCCTGCCTCTTGATCCTCTTGATCTCCTCACCTTTTTTTTTATCTGCTTCTGGAAGAAGTTTTAGTTCAGCTGCCCATTCTCAGGCATGAAGCACATTGCCATGAGAGCTTTTAGCAGCATTGAGCCCTCTTGATATGGAGTGGCAAACACTAAAGAGTGCAGAGAACAGGAACTGGATTTTGCACACTTAGCAGGAATTTGTTCAGAACAGATCAATGTTTAGGACACACTTTGGTCAGAATTTGGTCCTAAGGCATTAATAAGCTATACTTGAAATCCTTCAGCTCCTCTTTGCTAATTCCTTTTCTGGATGGTTTAAGACAAATGATTCTTCGCTGCCCTGAGGATCTGGCTGCACTGGCTGGGTGAGGTTGAGCACTGGGGCTGCTGAGCAGCAGAGCCATTGGAAGCCTGATCCAAAACACTCACAGTCCCAGGACTGTGGTTATGAGTGATAAATTACTAGAATAGCTTCCAGCCTGTTAAATGAAAGACTTCCAAAAGCCAGTAAACCAGTTAAGCTGTTTTCTGCTGCACCAAGGAGCTGTGTAAAGTTGGATCCTTTGGCCCAAAGACACAGAAGGTGCAAAGTTAGGACAGAAGAGCCATGTGGCTCCCAGGTGATGCTCTGGTTTTGCCCTCCACAGCCATGGCACAGTGAGGGGTAGGTATCACTCTTTCTCCTATGATTCATATCAGTCCTGAGCTGCATTTCTGATTCCCTTTCCCATTCATTTCCTCTTGCAAATCCGAGCTGGGCACGTCCATCTGTGTGTGTGGTGGGGTGGATGTGTGTGGGGGTGCAGAGCAGGACCCCCTTTGAGGTCCTCTGGATCCTGGAGAGGTTGGGCATTGGGGCTGCCACACCTGCACATCCCTGGCTGCTGCTGGAGTCATTCCTGCCCCAGCACCCTGCTTGCCTCACGTGTTCAGCCTCATTAAGCTGGTCAGGATTGGTGATGGCTGCCTCCTACTAGCAGATAAGTAGTTTATAAGATGCTTTAAATTGCAATCTTCACTCTAGAGTTAGCACAGCATAATATTGCTGCACCACCTCTTTCATCTCCAGGGCAGAATGACACGTGCATAAATCACCCCACAGTGCAAGGCTGAGATTTTCTTCACCCTCTGATTTCCTCCTGGCTTTCCTCTGATAGAAGAAAAGCCATGTAACCATGTTACTGCTCTCATCTGTCTCTGTTTCCATCAGAAGTGAGATTAAGCCTCCAAATATTGTATCTGCAAAGTCAGATATCTCCATTTAAAAACGTGTACTTCATACTCAGTTCTTCATCATGATTTATTTGACAGTTCTATTACGTGTTTTTAACTAAGAAAATCTTTCAGGGGAACAGAGGTTCTGGTTTATATTCTAAACTTCCTTTCATGGATTTTCATTCAGTTGTTAAAAATAATACAAAATCCCTGTATTTTAACATCTGGACTTCTTAAAGCATTCTCTGGGTAATTTTCTCATCTGGGGTATTATCACTGGCATTCCTAAACTGTTCCACCCTGTATTGTGGGGCAGGTTGGTGCACAATAATTTAAGTAAGGTTGGGCAGTTATTCTTTTCCCAAAGTCTAGGAACATTCCCATAAAACTTCAGCACTCCTGCACTGAAAAGTCAGTCCAAACCTGGCAGCAAAACAAGTGTTCTGCAAGCACAAGAGGCAGCGGCTGGGATTTCTCATTGCTAAGTGTCTGCCATGCGTGTCCTTTGCAGGTACCTCTCTGGGGACTCCATCACTGTCTTTCCCAGCAGCCCTGGCCCAGCCTTCCCTTCACCTGCCACGTCTCTGTTTGTCCCAACTCCACCCAGCATCCTGCACCTGACAAACCAGCAGCTCTTCAGGGCCCCGCGCAGAACGGGCTCGTCCTCCCTGCCCGGCCGCCTCAACCGGGCGCTGTCGCTGGGCACCATCCCCTCGCTGGCACGGGCAGGTGAGGGCAGGGCTGGCACGGGGACAGGGCTGCAAATCCTGGGAGAATTGGGCTGGGAGGGATCCAGGGAGTGTGCAGGGGCTGGCCCAGAGGGAATGGGGCTGCAATGGTGCAGTGCTTCAGGAGGAAATGGAATGGGAGGGATCCAGGTGAGTGTGCAGGATCTGGCCCAGAGGGAATGGCACTGGATCCACACATTGTAGTCCTGTCCTGGGTTCAAGTTGTTTCATTTTTGCTTTTAGATTCTGGCTACTTGTTCAGTGGAAGCCGGCCGGCCTCGCAGTCGTCCTACTGCAAGGAGTCCCCTACATCAGGTACTGCTCCAGGCCTTCCAGAACCACAGTCTGTGCAGGATTTGCACTGAGTGGGTTCAAACACGTGGTCTGGTTGAATTCTTTCCTCCCTGCTCGCATTCCAGTGAAAATGTCCATTTTGCTGCTAGAAATGCTGCAGGGAGAGCCCCAGCTAGAGGTGGGATGGTTAAAGTCGGGTGTTGTGTGTGCTGGATGTTCTCCCTGGGAGAGCTCACGGTGGCATCAGTGAGACAAAAAACAAGGAGCCCTTTGCTGATTAGAGCAGGGTTGAGCCTGCTTGGAGAGGAGAATTCAGCTATTCAGGGCAGCTCTTTTGTAGCTTTCCCAGCAGAGAGCAGCAGTTGCTGGTTTGGCTGCTCCGTGCCCTGTCTGTGGCCCTTGTGGCCCGGACAGATCCTTGGGCTGTTTGTGCTGCTGTCCCACCCCGGGCCATGCAAACCTCCCAGTGCTCCCAGTGCACCTCCTCTGCACTTCATTCACCTGCAGAATGGATTGTGCACCCTCTCCTGGATGGACACAGCTGAGCTAAGACAAAGCTCACCAGGCTCCTGATAACCTGAGTCACTCCTGAGTGTACCAAAGTACTTGTGGGATTTCTCTGTGCTTTGCAGTGTGGGAACTCAAATAAATAACAAATTTTAGTACAGGACATATTGGTGGATATTTGCAACTCCCATTCATTTTCCTTGTAGTACAGTTAAAGAGAACTGTGCAGTGGGATGATAACCCGGTGGTTTTATCTGTGGGGTGTTATTACCAAATGGGTACTGGGGGCAGCTAAAGGTGATACAGAGACTCTATCATTAGAAGGTATGAAAAAGACACTTTATCATTAAAATCTACAGTTTTTATAGAAACAATGGAGGACTTAAGACTTGATTGGCTTTTAGGAATGTTTTCTCACACTGTTGGTGAACTATGAATAGCACACTCTGGAGAACCATATCTCTAAACAATGCTTACAGAAAGAGAGATAATAATTTTGAGTTCTTTTAAGTTTCTCACAGCTTTTGAATTTCTGGGAGAAGGCTGTCCCGCCGTTCAGAGTGTCTGTGATGGTTCTGTGTGTTTGTGTTGCAGAGCCGCTGTCGCTGCTGGGCAGCC